TTCCTCCTTTTGCTCCTCAGCCTACGGGGTATTAGCAGCCGTTTCCAGCTGTTGTTCCCCTCCCAAGGGCAGGTTCTTACGCGTTACTCACCCGTCCGCCACTGGAAACACCACTTCCCGTCCGACTTGCATGTGTTAAGCATGCGAAAGAGATTAAAAGTTTCTTTAAGTTTGCAATATAGGGTAGTGAAATAACTGCATGAGTACTGGATAGACGAATTAGGGGAATGCAGAGAAAGCTTAAATGGGCTAACCCACCACTGCATTTAATTTCCATGATACTTCTTTTGCACCACAGTCACCAGTTGTGGTTTCACAGAATTGAATTCCAGGCTCAGTTTGGAAAGAGTACAAATACAAATATGTACAGTACAAATGCAAACAAAATAATACAAAATACAAGGCTTTGCACTCTACATATTTGTATTTGTACTCCTTCCAGACTGAGCCCTAAAAATTGAGGGGAAACAAATGGAAAGGTTCAGTTGTCACTTTTATTTCAATATTGATTCTGCACACACTGCCAGAAAACATTTTATGAGTCCCTATTGTAGGGAGAGTAATTAATCCCAGAAAATGGACCTTTAAAAAGAGCCCACTTTGTACACACTGCCAGAGTGGGCAGTGATCCTTTAAAAAGAGCCCACTTTGTTCTCATCATCAAAGCACAGGTGATTCTTATTACTACAGAGGGGATTTTAAGCACCTTTGAAACGATGCTGCCTGGCTGCTTGCATTGTTTATTTTTTTCTCTTTTTTCTTTGTTTCCAACTACAGCATATTAGCCTAATGGAACTTTTCATTCCTGACCCAATAAAAAGTTGGGGCATGGTCATCTACATTCCAGATCCAAATCTTTCCCATTTAAGTTTCCTGGGATTTGTGGATGTGTTACAACTTTTAGGTCAGTGCTCTTTGGGGTTGAGGCGCCTAAGGTTATTGTTGGGTTATAGAAAATTTACAGTTTATTGATGAACAATCGTTATGATTTCAATTAAAGAGTTAGTTTAGGTATTAGAAAATTTTCTTGTGGGATACTAGAGAGACTAAACATGCATTTTAACTAGAAAAATGAATTTCTAGCTTTGGGCTATAATATCATAAGCTGTTTAACAAAGCCTTCTTTTCTATTCTGTCTAAAAAAAGAACTTAGGCCCTGTTTGGTTCACGGGAATAGGGGTCTGGAAGCGGAATCGGAATCGGAATGGGCTAGTCCAATTCCAACTGTTTGGTTGGGCGGAATTGGAATCCCACTCCCATTCCTGCTGAAATGGCATTCCCCCATTTGAGGGAATGGCCATTCCCTGTCCCTCCCTTGGGAATGAAATCCCATTCCTGCTGATTTTAATTCTCATTCCCATTCATGTCTAAACCAAACAGAATATGGGAATGAACCATTCCGATTCTGATTCCAGAGGATTTTGATTCCGATTCCAATTCCGACTACGAACCAAATGGACCCTTAGTTCAGGCTTATTCTCCTTATTTTGTGGGAAAAAACAGTGACGATTGAAGGGTTGCATTCCTGCATCAAATTTGGAGTTAAGTGCAATGCTCTATGATTTAATCGAGATGAAATTTCCTGAAAGCAGAAAACGTGCAAACACCCTGAGAGCACAGCATCCAGCTGCACATTTGGAACATTTCCCCATGAATTTAACATTAAGTACTCTTGTGGGGAATTTAACATTTCCCCACATTAAGGAAATGTTCTTGATGTGTGGCTGGGTGCTCATGCTCTCAAAGTGTTTGCACGGTTTCTGCTTTCAGGAGATCTGGGCTTCATTTAATCCAGCTATATCTATATATATATAAAACTTTTTCTTATTGTGATAGTTCAATTTCAAATCAGCGTCTCTTTCCCCTTGGCTATCTTTACAAATTTAGGTGCTATATTAATGAAACCAAAAGAATGTTGAACTTTCCACCATCAAGAGTCAACATGGTTTGGAGTTCTTAACATTTTATGCTCTGTTTACTTAATATTGTCGTCATGGATCATGACCCACATACTAAAGAATTATCTGATCTCGTTTTTTGAAGATCATGAAAGATTAGTTCATGCTTTCATGGACATGAGAGTCGATTTGGAATAGGTATCCCCTTTTTATTTTTGTCTGTCTTAATTGCATTTTTTGCCTTTCTTACCTTTGTAAGGCTATTTGTATTGACATATTTTATACATCGGGCTCATTCTCATTTCTCAACAATCCAAATGGTTTGAATTATCTGATTTAAGTTGATTGCTTGATCCAGAGGAGCATGGCATGAATACCATCTGTTGTAGATTTCACTCTGACATTTATACACTATTGGCTTCTCATAGTAGTTACTACTACCTGGTTCTTCCTATGAAATTTACAAAGTGATAGAAACATACATGACTAAAGCACCCACAGATCACTTGGCAGACTTACTCAGTATTTGATTGCAAAAAAGTGGAAGAAAGGGAAAGAAATCTGTGAAAGAGTACTGGCATCCCTTATTTCAGAGGCAAAAGTATAGACAAAGTAGGAAGATGAATTTTCTCTTTTCCTTATTTTCTATCCGAAAAGGTAGGGAAAGCCAGAGGAAAGCAGTAGGTAATGAGGAAATAACCGAGTGCAATGGATGGCCCTGTCTGCTTTAGTCCTTACTCATAGCGTGTGAGAAGGCTGCAGAAAGAAAATGATCAAGAAAAGAAAAAATAAATTTTATTGCTGATTGATGCTTGATTCATTAAAATTTAGAAATGCGGTAATCCTTGTTAACCCCATGAATCAGATTCATCAAAAGTATGGTAATCTCTGTTATTCTGGACCAACCAATCAAAGCACAGCCAAGTGGCCGTTTGTTGAGAGAATCTTAAACCTCACGTGAAAACATGGGCTCTGGACCTACTCTGCATCTCTAACAACGTTTGGATCAAAAGTGAACTCAAATGAGACAACAAATAAACCTGAACGCAGTGATTGTACTAGGGAGTCTGGACTCATTACTATCTAGAGTCCTGGATCTGGATGCCTAGGACCCATGTAGGTTGATAGTTCCTTGTTTGAGACGCCGGGAGCAATCCGTGGACGGCTGTGCTCACTGTTGAGCAGGAGAAAGATACATGAATTGGGCTCGCACTCTCACCTGGAAGTACTGGGCAAAAAAATCAGAATCCATGGAAGATTACAATAACCCTGTGATTTTATTGTTTAATATACGACGTGGAAAAATACAAGTTTCTTGTTAAGACAAGAAAGAAGAAATTCCACCTACAATGCCCATCATCCGTAGCCGTAGGGCTAGTTTTTTCAGTGAGACCCATCTATTGGTGGGCCCCGATCCCTGAGTGATGTAACCCATGACGAGTTATGGGGAGCCCTATACCTGTCCGCAGGTGTCCTGTGCCAAAATCAAGGACACTTAGAGGGAATCTTGAGCCTAACATCTTAGCAGAGGGTTTTTTAAGTGATCTTCTCAAAGGCCAGATCGAAGATGCTCTAGCCTCTCTTTGCAGG